GGGGGGGGGAGGGTGGAAACTAGAATAGATGGACATTACCAACCTCATAATATCCTCTAATTCTATTTGTTATCACACATTTCAAGCGCCAAATTCACCAACGAAATCGTATTAACCGCCTTCCAAATTTGCGCGCTAAAGGGAAATAAAGGGCCTGGGTGAATAAACAGAAAGCCCAAAATGCCTAGAACAATGTCCCTAGATAAGCGTTTGGCATCAGGTCCTGTGTCATTTGGTCACACCCGCAAAGAGAGTGCCTATGATTTTGGATTTACTCAAGCTCAAGTTAAAGGTAAGACCTGCTATTACCTTGTCTACCGCGAACTTGTGGAGGCTATGGATAGAAAAGCTCCCAGGTGCTTCATTGAGATGGATGAGAAATGTGTTCGCATAGTTGAGAAGAAATATCCCTTCGAGGAAGTGACAATTTTTATCAAGGATATCATGAGCTATTTCAAGTTTGATCACAGTTCAAAGTTCGTCGCCTTGTGTATTGATGCCAATAAGGCGGAGAAGAGTGGATATTGGTTTATTAATTTCGACACAGAACAACAATTGGAGGAATTTTGTGATTGTCTCAATAAGTTGTTCGCTTGGGAAAAGCAAAAAAATGCAGTCAAAAGAACGCGGACAATACAATGCTGGTGTTGTGGAGCCGATATTGTCATTCCGCCTCAAAGATCGTACATTGATAATGGATATAATGAAAGCTTGAAGTCGAAAAGCTCCAGGTGGTCTTCATCGAAAACTTCGTCTTCTTCCTCACCCGCGTTGATTACATATCAACCCCTCAATACATCTACTACAAGACGAGTATTTAGGCGCATTTAATTTAAGATGTAGATTATTTATTTATTTATTTATATACATATTGGATAAAGTTCAACAATCTGAGACAGATTGAGCATCAAGGAAATACATCTTACTTTTTGCTTGTTATTTTTTTATAAGTCAAAGGATATCATATTTATTTATTAAATTCCTTCGTTGATCGATAAACTTGGCTTAAAGATAAACCGGACTACAAATTATTGTTTTAAAATAATTATACAAATTTTGGCTGAAACTTATCAGACTTAAATTGTTGGCATTGATCATTAATTAAATTTCTTTTTAACTTTTGATCAATTGGAATTTGTGGTAATGGAATCGGTAGCTCAAAATGTGATATTGCTCTCATACATTCCTTAAACAATTAAATTATTCTAATATGGTTACTGATAATTATTATAATTGCTAATAATACGATTATCAGTTGACATTTCATTGTGTGGAAATAGTAAAAGCTTAGTAATATATCAAATGCTGAAACTCAAATCGAAAATATTCAATCAAGAATTACTATAAGTGAAGAAAACTCATATGAGGTTTAAGATTTTAATATTTTTGTCAATGATTACAGTGTACATTGAAAGAATGTAGGCATATAGGGCTATATTAACTATTTCAGTGCTGGTCTAATTTATCAAATTTACTAAATTTCCATAACCAATTCGAATGAACCAGAAAGTCATATTAAATATTAGCTAATCAGTTAATTTATTAAATTAAGAGCTTATTTGTTGTAATCTTAAGATCAGGCCTCACCTACTGGACTATCGATTATTGGGTTTTCTACTCTCAGGCTAGGAAATGTAAGACCACCAAAGGAGAACCCCATCCCTGGCACTGTTTTCAACCAATTATTCAATAATTTATCTCAGATCCATATCTCAAATGTATTCTCTATTTGGGATTCAAGTCCTTCTGTTTCGTCCTCCTGAAGGGTGAGCAGTGCAAATTGTAAAAAACTCCGAAATGCCTTCTCGGGTAAAATATTCAGAAAAAAACTTAGGCCAATAATAGGTGTTAGAGCCTAATACGCGATGGAGTGCTTCTAAGAGCACGGGTCTAAAAATTAGAATCCCACATAATTTGATCTGAAGAATTGGCAGATCATCTGCATTCTGAGCTTAATGTTTAACGAAACTCATCTCCTCTTCATATGGAATATCCAGACGACCCTCACATGTATTCTTTGTGGAATTCATTGACCAGGTAAAGAAGTCTACCAGGTGGAAAGCATTTTTGCGGTTGTGATTGAACCGTCATCTAGCTGCCATTCGAAAAGACTGGATGACACTGAGGATCGATATACACATATCTCAGTTGTGCCCGATTGTCTCAATACATAGAATAGAAGTAATTGTGTTAGGCGTTCGGCAAAATAACGCTCACAGATTTAACATTTATCCTTTTTGTGGAGATTCTCAAGTCTCTTACAGGCTGTTTCAAAGACGCACTTCACAATTCCTAATATGCGGTACATAAGGTACCTAAAAGCCTGATATTTACTTGGTACAAAAGCTGTCACAAATCTGGGGTTGTTTGGATCTCCTGATGCCAACATCATATAAAGGTGGCTTATACTCCTAGGCAATCCCGTCGACTAATTAAATATTCTGCAGTTCTGTCGTAAACCACCCCCCACCCCCCAAACCGAGTGAACTGTGGTCTAGTGTTATCTAATCAGCCGATAAGCCAAGGCAGCAGAACTAGATTCCCCAGCATTATCATAGCCTAGAAGTCATACTTTATAGAGGTGAGCAAAACTGAGAAACGAAAAATATTGCTGCAATCTTGATTCAATTTCCCACTTCGTTTTTGCCAAACACCTACCTAAACAACTCTCTATGAGGAAAGACTTAAGCTCAAACATTTTCAGCGAACCAACTTCCTTATGAAGATCTCTCCATTGATGCATTCCTCCCCCCCCCCTTGTGCAACTGTGTATGGCAAGTTCTCTCAGATGGACTTCCATAGCCAGTAATTGCCCTTATAATAACTTCCTAATTAGCAGATCGCTTTTAATGCAATTACAGATCTTTCCCTTCACAATTTTGACGTGAAAGAAAGTCGGAATACCCTCAATTTCCTTAAAACTAACAATCGCTTCCCCCAATTACCAATGGCAGACCAGAGGACCATTAGGCAGTGTCAACAGCACCTTGGGAAGATATTTTGGAGCCGCTCCAGAACTCAAATTCCACCTCCACTTCAGCCGATCAGAGTTAACCAGTGCGGTTAGCCACCTACAACAGCACTGAAGCATCCAAATGAGGATTGCCAAGGTGACGCCTAACTTAACGATAACCAATACACATGATGCAAAGAACAAGTACCATTTGGGTCATAGCGAAATTCTAACGAAAGAAAAATGATAGGATATTTAAAAAAGTTTGAATTTGTATAACAAAACCATTTTATTTATTTAGAAATTATGTTAAATTTTACAAAAAATATCGGAATTACACAAATTCTACTGTGGAAGCATTCTTAGCCACATTAGAAATTGTTTCACGTCCAAATCGCCGTCATGCTCAGGGGTCCAAGGAACTAGGTAAAACTTTGTCTTGCTAAAATATTAAAAATACCTTTATCTTTAAAAAATCGAGATGGGGGTATTGTAACCCCCTTATTTGCAAAAACAATTGGTTACTATTTTCGGTGTCCCGAAATGTCATATCCTGCAAATCGTTTTTTTGGAAAAATGGATCTATTAACATCCTAATGCCATCACAAGAGAAGAGTTCGAACAATTTTGACCCAGGTAAAGGCACTCTGAAGCCGATCTCAAGAAAAACATTGTATCACATCTTTTATTGACCAAAATTATCCAAGGTGGCGTGCGTAGATCCCGTGATTACCTCTCTGTCCAACACGGACCGTCTGGACGACTGGCAGAAGTCTTCATTTAGTGCAATCTCGTTCCCGTGTGTGCTCTATTTTTGATCAACTTCATGGTATGTCCTTGCTGTAATACCCCTCCCCCTGCCCATTAATGTTAACTTGAGCGACAAGAGACCCACCCCCACCCCCACCCCCAAAGAGATGTTTTCCTATCTAATTACTCCGTCCGCTCCAAATGGGAAAGCGAGTTCCATGACTTTACAAGTTGAAATTAGGAGGTGTAGTTCTGACCACTACACTAATTACTATTAAAATGCGCCTAGAATGATAATGTCTCAATTAGAGACTTCGAACAATTATTTATCCCCATTAATAATATTAATGAACAATTATAAGTATACTAGTTAGTATAAAGAAGGCGTGACCAACTTCTCAACTTGAATAGGCTGCCAAATAATTCACTAGCCAAAGATTGGAACTGCAACCCAGAAATGTAGGGGTGCAATCATGTGGTTAGGCCAATGGAGAGACCTGACACTTAGGTTTCAACTCTAACTGTGTCCTTATCCACACTCCACCAACACACACACGACAATTTAACTTACTCTGCTCAATTAAATAATAGCCAAATAAATCATAGCCATACCTGAACGGCAAACAAATATCGGATGGAACTTCGTAGGTCGATGTCTGATGGTCCGCATTCGAATAATAGACTTTACCAGTGCTACGACTCACTCCCATAGTCCAGGGGGCTGAAGAGAAAAAAAAGAAAAAAAATCGATTGGTGAAAAAAGATAGTCTGGCACAGTTCAGGTGAGAAATTGCCATTATCCCACCCCCCACCCCCCTTTTTTTTAGAAAAATTAACAATTGAGGTTGGGCGTCTGTACTACAGAATGAGCACCGATTTTTTTGATCTCTGATTCAATAGATATGCCATATTACTCACGAAGTCATAAAATATACACAACGAGTCACTTCACTCACCGGAAAATGGTCGAACGAGAAGAAGACCTTTCGGAGCACAAGTCATTCCGGATTTAGTAGCTTGAAACATAACGTGACCATTTGGATAATCCTTGCATGGAAGTTCCTTTAAACTACACACAGAGAAAACCGGTTTGAGTAAAAGGAGGCTGAAAGGAGAACCAAGTGATTTCAATCTTGTTACCCATTAATAAACTCCGGCATGGTGATCAGGGGTCCGGACGGTGGATAAATAACTTTGGTGCCCTCTGTCTCGGGGAAATCCAAGGTATCACACAGCACTTTGATATGTGCCACTCTCTCGGCAAGGGAGAGATGTTGAATATCTATTCCGTATATAAATGCAGCATCTAGAACCATTAAAGCGCGATACCGACGTCCTTTCTGTCAAGAAAAAACAACCAAAAGGTATTTAATAACCATGCCTAATTAAGAAATAAGTCGGAGTAGAAAATTTTCAACCCACATTGGAGTAAATATTAACATTGATGGCCCAAAGTAAGCAACCAGCAGGAAGTTGAATCTTTGATTCAAGTCGAAGGAATCTCCCTTCTTCCCACGTAAAAATTCGATCATTTCCCTGAGAAAGTAGGATCATTGGATCACTGGTTTGCTCCATGGTTACACTATGGAGGCCAGAAATAACAAAAGCGTAAAATGAGGCGGCCTTGAACTGTAGACGCTCAAGATCTGCCATTTTAAGAGCCTCTATTATCTTCGAACGCTGCAAATGCTTGGGAAGAGATCCTTTTGTGAAATTCGAAGGATCCTGATAAGAGAAATCACAAAAAAGCAACTTGTAAATGTACGATTTACTGATATGATTATAAGTAGCAAATTAGTGCATACAGGGATAATTTCACGTAGAGCAGGAGAGATGTTCTCTGGCCACAGAGGCCAGGAATGAATTCCTCGTTTAATGTTAGGGACCTAAAATCGATAAATAATAAGAAACGATTAAAATTGCCCATAGCCACAGCTCTTAATTGTAACGGTATTAGAGAAGTCAAAATGGTGTGCACTGTGAGAATACTGTCTCATTCCTCGGGGAGTGCAATGTAGAACGCATTGTCCAAATACATCCTATGCTAAGGCATGGCGCGTATGGACAAAGCAAGAAAATACGAAAATGTCCACATTCTAAAGGATGAAGAACCAAGAAACATAAAACGCAGCATGTAAAAGATAGCAACCGCATGACCACAAAGCCACCTAATCAAGTCAAGTGCTTCCAGTTCGACTTCCTTATTGGCCCGCTTTGTGTACCGCCCTGATTTTGATACTGGTCCAACGAGGTTGCCAGCCTATTTCTCACACGATTGGGAATTACACCTAACTGTCAACTAATATATCTGATCAAAACAAAGTACAAGGTTAACAAGTGACCTATCTTTAAAGAAACTACAATCCCTAGCACAAACACAGAAATGCTATGGAGAAAATTAATTATTTTAGGGTCTGCTAAGACAACAAAAAGTTAGTTTCATCTCCCATCAGCTTCTAAACACATCTCAGGGAAAAGCATAAAAATATAGGCAAAACTCAAAGTGAATAACGTTAAATAGCATCAAGATCCAGCAAACAAAACTCAAGATTGTAGGCACCAGAAATGAATCTGCAAGCTCATGGGCAATTCGAATTTCAGATAAAATCTAAATCCGTCTTTTGTGAAACAGGGTATGATCGAAAGTTATTATTACCTGCCACTTCTCTAGGCAAGCTTTTGCAATTTCACTCTGTGAATCATCGCTTTTGGTTGCGTCGTCGGTGAAAACAATCATCTTTGAGAGGTACAAACTCTGGCGTTTTATCAATCTAAAGCAATGGGAAAGCACAATGAAATACAACATACTACTTAAAAGTAAATCAGTAGTTGAAACACAAGTCCGAAACCACTCACAGCTCATTAACCTTCGTAATGTACTCAGGGAAGTTTTCCGGAATATCGAAGTCTTTTCTATGTAGAACGTCATCTTTAGCTAATCGAAGGAGGTCCAAGGAATCGTTTCCAGCCAATTTATGGAGCTCCTCTCCAGCTGCCAGAAAATGTGCGATCAGAATTCCAACTGCCGAAGTTGTGTCTACGTGGAATTCATCCTCATGATTATCGCTGGAGGATTGAGAAGGCATTACCATGGGTTTCCGAATTTTCTTTTGCTTAAACTGTCGACGAGCAAATGTTTCAGCAGGCTCTTGCTTCTTAGATTTATTAGAAGATTCCGGAGGCGATGGACAGCCAGCCATGCAATCGTTGGGAGAAATCAAACCATCGCAGACAAGATATCTACGGCAGACAAGGAGTGGTAATCGGCTTCAAAACTAGACACTTACCGCTCGGAATTCGCCGGTCTACTGGTGATAGGTTTGACTATGTAAATCTTTTTAAAAACATGAGACATAAGCCAAAGTAAATCGACAGTGAAATCGGTGAAGGTGTCGAATAACTTTGTGATGAAGCGACCACCTGAAAATGCACACGTTAGACAACTTCTGGAAAGTGATTTACCTGGACGCAGAATAGTAAGGGCACAGAGGCATTGGCAAAGGTAGATGTGCTTCGACAACACTTCCTGCAGATTGTAGCCATCTGACACATCGAAACCCTTGAGAAAATAAGAGGATCATTAAGATCAACAGAGACCAAGAATAGGTAAGTGTATGCCTTTCTTTGGTATAAATACTCGAAACTCGATATCATTTTTTTCTGATTTTAACAACTCAGTGAAGGCAGAGTTAGTTGTCATCGATGCGACAGTGAATCGCAAATCGTCCAGTATTCATTTAAATAATTGTAGTGATTAAAGAAAGTGGATAAGAACAATTAAGCTTTGTTAAGTTAATACCATGTTAGCTAGTGTCATGCAGCTGGCAACTTGGCAGTTGGAAGGTAAAAGGTATTTAAAAAATCGATTAATAGATGAAATGAAAATCGAACGTTACGTTAACAAATAATCCTAAAACTCTAAAGATGGGAGTGATGTCATAAACAAATATTAAAAGCGTGGTAAATTACGAGGAAAATACTATTTTCCACTACCAGACGAATGTGGGATGCGAGTTCACGGAAATGTAGGTAACATTTAAAAAAGTTGTCATTAAAATCAATACCTATAAAATGGGATGTCCCTAAAGATGAGCTTCAACTGAACGAAACATTCCGAAAAATAAAGGACAAATAATTAATTTGATGACCTAACTCTTCTGATTTGAAAATCATACTCCCTATCTAAAGAGTACCTTCGATCAAATCTCTTGATTCAAACATGACTATTATTTCAAATGGCAAGCGTTTGGAATATTTATCATTAGCCATTTAGCTGACTTCGGGCTTCGCAGAGGGAGGAAAATCAAAGTGTAGAGGAGAGAAAGACAGACACAACGGTAGAGAAAAGGTGAGATGAGAACTGTGGAAGTTGTGTAATACGACATACAGTGGGGTGATGGTATTTTGAAGTCAGAAGTCAGCCGCCGGTAAATAGATTGCACTATCTTCTCAGTGACAACTAACGGCATTCACAAACGAGAGAAATAGATCGACTTGTTACTTACGCCATCAGCCATTACTAGATGAACTCCCTTCCCATCGGTCGCAGAAACGATAGTCTTCGCAAATGAAGCCAAATTGCACCACTTTGTAATATCACCATCGTCTGCGGCGCCGTAGTAAGGTCGAAAATTCTCGACTGGGCCAGCAACAAATTTCCTTAGCTTGAAGTCACAATCTCCCCTGAGTGTCATGCCATAGCCTCGAATAGGTTGAAAATGAGGCAATTTGGAACTCAAGGGACAACCACGACGCCATGTTAAGTACTCAGAGAAACCCCCTGGACCGGCGCAGATGTCTGCAAAATGGAGAATCTCCTAAAAAGGGGGACAAGGAGGTGAGAAATAATTACAAAACGGCATGTCAAGGCGGTAATATAAATACTCACGCCGTGAGGAGGATTCGCAGAGAATATTCCACTGAATAAGACGTCCATATTAGCCATTTTCATTGCAGCTCTAAAAAGAAAACGAGAACACAAACCGAGATTATACAATAAATACTTAATTTATTTGTACAATTAGTGTATGCGACAATGGTGTAGCGATAATCATTAACGCTTGCAGTCAATAGCATGGGTTTGTTATTTAAAGAGCCAAATTCAGAGAACTATATGGCTAATTTTACTAGAAGAAAGATGGTAAAGAGAAGTTGCCTATCGGAGAGCCTTCAGGATGAACTCTAAGAAACGCTTCTCTAAAAGGGATTTAAGACAAGCTTGATAAGATAACACTTGATTGCAAGGTCTTAAAGAAAAGAGGCGTTATTTGCCACTAATAGCTGAAATCAGTTAATTTCAGGCCCCCCCCCCCCCAACCCCCTTCAATAAATCCTATCTCTCGAAAAATAGAGTGTTTGGATTAAAATTCATTACCTATTCATGAATATCCCACTGCGAATATCTTCATACGGATTCGACCGCAAACGAGCACTCATAATGGCTTCACGAGAGCGCTTATCGAGGGAGTTCTAAAATGAAGAGAAAAACGGTATCAAAAAATGGAACTGGTGCATTGACGAGCTAGAAGAGCGGATGAGAAAGGATTCCCAATTCACTGACAGCCAGTTAGTTATGAATAGGAAAACAATATTGTGGTACATTTTTCGAGATCCATTTTAAAGTGTTAATATCTCCCATTCAGAGTAAAGAAAATAGTATTTAAGTCATTATGGAACCAACCGTCTATTACCCTCTTTCACTAAATAGTGCCATAATGAGGAATAAGTCAATTTATTTAAAAATCCTACAAAGCATACGAATGTGAGAGCAGGACGCATAGCTTTCACCTGCGGTGTGTGCGGCTTTAAAGGCACTCTTTTAATATTTTGGCATTCAGTTATGATTTTCATTTAAATTTGACGATTACGCGCCTGGAAATTTTTGTCCCTTTATATAGCCGAGCTGTCTTGCATCTGGAATAATTAAATTTAGAAAAAAATTAAGAAGGTGATTGGATGGCAAACTTTTCTTTTCATAATTCGCATAGCCAACATGACTTTTTCCAAAGGACTGCCTCTATCCCAGAGACCCGATTAGTCAGAAAGATCCTGTGATCAAGTTTCACAAAACGAGGACTTTCTGGGATTGATTTAAAATCATCTGAAATATCAAGGAAAGAGAAAAAATATTAGAAGCAAACACAACCGTTTCGCTAAGACTAATTAATAAGAAAAGCAGGAGCCACATGCTCGCTAATTAGCAGGAGAAATGTTCCCCACAAGAAGCTTAGAATTTGACCTGTGAAATTAAAAAATTGACTTTCAATTCCGTTTTTACATCAGATTTCATTCAGTGGCTATTAGTGATGTATAATTCTTCGTCTTTATGGCAGATACTGAAGTCAGACAAATAAAATCTCACTTATATCAAATAATCTATTGAGAAAATACTATTTCGATTCAATATATGTGAGCACTGCTTCAACACACTTCCAAAATGACTATAAATTCAGCGATAAAATGGACAGGAGTTTTTTAACAAAGAAGCAAATAACCCGTCAAATTGAACCTAATATATAAGAAATGAAGCGAAAATGTTCAGATGTAAACAATTTTGACGGAGAAATGAGAGAATATAAATACTGTTCAACTCCCAAGCAAATCAACACAAAGAAAAAGGAGAACAACAGAACAAAACAAAGCTCAAGATTTCCCCCGAAAAATATACTTTAATGGCCTTTCAAGTGGTCACCCCACAAAGGACTTACCTTATAAAATAGCATCTCAAAAAGTAGAGGCTCCGAACAATATCGAGACTGACTCTCCATCGAATCAACCGGAGGTCCACGAGCAGACTCTGAATGCAACGGCAAAATTGCCGATTTCAGGGCCTCCAAACACCTCTCAGGTAGATCTGGAATCTCAAAGTTCGATCTAGGAGGGAACCAACGGGAGAATCGATAGCACAGGTCATCATTCGCTGAGGCGGGAGGCAGATCAGTCTTGTCGTCGGACCAAGCATTCGGACCATTTGGCAACTCCCCTATGTCCAGAGCGCGAAATCCTGCGACTGCATCCGCACCCAAACCTTGGCGATTCTTTGGCACCTTGGTCGAGATGGGTTCGAGACGACCCTGGCCTTGAGCACCCAGACCTTTGCCGTCGGTCCAACCTAATTTTCGCTGTTAATGAGAAGTAATTGTGGTTGAACGTGAAAGTTTCAAAGATCTCGTACCCAATATATATATATTATTGAGGTTATGTTGAAAAAATTAACAAATTACGCTTGCAATATCACTGAGCATAACGGAGATTGCGACTTAAAAATAATAAGCAATTGTGTAAAATACTCATAAGTGAAAACTAACCAACTATAATGAGTGAATAAGAACATGAACCTGCAAAACTACCCAATTTAATTTATTTAGATCATAATAAAAGCCTGACAGGTCTATTCAATCAAAATATTAGTATTTAATATTCCCCTTTAGTAAAATTTTTTAGTACCGTTATACCCAAATCGCGTAAGCAATTATCATCCCGCAATTAGTCGGCCAATAAACACCGGACATCATTGACAAATAACTTAAAACGAAAGTAGACTTCTAGAACCATGAGTAGAAAGAGTAAATAGCGTGCAGTTCGAACCCCAAAAAACAACTGAAATGAGGTTCCACAATACCGATCGTCTTTGTCACCAACATCTAGTTGGTTATCTCCTTCAATTAAAGTTGATTGACAATAGAATAAAGGGGAGACTTGGTGTTCCAGATTTAAAAAAAGGTGAATTGACGTTTATTTTATGCTAATATAATGCCATTTAAAAGCTTCGCGTTCATGAAAAGCTCACATTTTTTCATATTTGGTTAAGTTTGATTCTTGACGCCTTCCCAATTCAATACTATTTGCAAGCACACAGTTCGGTTACAGTCAAAATCGAAGGGCTCTTGAGTTAAAGATTGCTCCGAAAGCCATTTTTTAAAACAGAGAATTAAGGTATACTCGAATTTTCACAAACTCATTTTCAAATATAACACATTAGAGGATGTCCTTCAAATAAGTGAAAAGTAACGTTCGAATTTCCAGTCCTTGAAGGTCCCAACAACAAGCGATACGAATACTACAATCTCTGGACACTGTTGCTATCCACACTTTCATATCTCTTGAGATTCTTTTCTTGATACCTCATTAGTTTACTTTGAGCAAGTTATTCTTACATCAACATGCCAACAGCACATATGGGGTCTAGCAATAATAATAAACAAATATAACTCCAAATCCAATTATTAAGGCATTACTCACCATCAGGTCCCAACCCTTGGAACCGACTTGGGTATCATCAATCTACAATAATGGAGAAAAAGAAGAAAAAATCTAATTATTCGGCAAATTCTCAATCTCCTTTATTATCATAAAGAAAGGAAAAGTTTTAATACCTTAATACGTTTTGCTTGAGAAATATCACCTGAGTCCATATTGGCACTAAAACAGCACACATAAGATTAAGACAGAAAAATGGCCATTGAATACTAAAGAAGACCAAGAGCAAACTGAAAAATAGGAGATATTTATTTTAAATTTATGAGTTTCTCTGGAGGAAGAGTTACAGAGGTGGGAATGCGAAATGGAGTTTGACAAGTCGAGCAAACAGGGGAGAATTCACAGAATACAGACAAACAGACAGAACAAACATAAGCCAAGTCGACCATCTTGCGGTGACAAAAACAGGCTGAACGGAAATCCACTCCTGCAGATGAGCCCCCATTCGAATCTGGAAGGATCATTTGAGATCTAAGACCCGCATGAGGGAGGAAAACACAAAGAAGATACTGTAGAAGTCCTGCAGGTCTAGGAATACGAAGGTAAATACCCCCAGTCAGTTCAGCAGCTTGCTGAAAGAGACTTGAATGCCCAGACTCTTGAAGGGTTGTGGATGACTGACGAAGATGATCTTCGATGGAATAAGACATTCGAGTAGGAGGTATAATACAAGCGTCGATTAGAACTCCCATCTTTTGAGCAGTAAATACAGCATTCATGAGGGAAAGGTATTGGGAAGAATCATCCTCAGCGGCTCGAACGACAAGAATCCGAGCGTGGAAATTGTCTTTTAGTAGATTATGAATATCATCCTCAACAACTGTATTCGAATCGACTCGAGTATAAGCAAAAGTAGGACGCATTTCTCGACATCGGCGAATGAAGAAACAAAGAGCGTTGTTAATTGCATTAGCGAATGAGACGGTACAGCTTGTTGAATCACAAGACATGACCATCTGATTGACTTTATTTCGGACTGTTTGACCAATGATCGAGAATGGTTCGTACTGACCGTTCCGACATTCAATTTTATCAATGGGGTTTAGGGAAGGCCATAAAAACTCAGTTTTCTCGGGGGTTACACCAACAATTGCAACTTCATTAAGGGGTGATAGAGCCAAATGGCTACTAGCGAAAGCGAGAATATTTTCGATAAATGTGGGGAGAATAAGAAACTCGTGGGCAAATGTACCCCACCACACTGGAGTGAGGTCAATTAGGATCATAAGAAGATTACGATCACCATCTTCTTGAGCCATCTTAAGCAGCGAAGTCGAGAGTAAGTTGAATTAAAATCGACTCGAAGTCTTCAATGGATACTGTATTTCTATCAGATTTTTTAGCTAATGCAACGGATCTTTCGAAAGCCTCTGTAAGTGAAAATAATTTGTTAATAAAATGAAACAAACCGTTTATATAAAGCTTTATAAGCTCAACAGATAGATAAGTAGCCTTCTTTGAAACTAAATGGAAGATAAGTTAACTAGAACAAACAGCACACACCTTGATTTCGAATCAGTTAATTGACTTCGAAGTAATACTGGCAAGACTTTGTCCTAAAACATATATAAATCGACCGGAAGTAGAACAAGAAAAATGATACTAATATTTAAAAAAGATCAAAAGTATGCAAAATGCACAAACAGTTAATTTATTCTAGTTAACTAGATAAGCTGATAAAACACGCACCATACGAAGCCTTAACTGATCGTATCAAGAACCTAGAGATTGAACGCAATTAAACACGTTAATTTTACGAATTCATACGAAAATCAAACGTGTTAGCATTTTACATAAAATAATTGATGAAATCTAGCATTATCTATTTAAATATAAACCAGTTCGTTTGAACGCAACATTCATAGCTTAAGAAATTATATTATATTTATTAAAGGTGTTCTCTTTGCCCAAAATAACAATTCGTTCAGACGCAAGCTTTCAATATTAGCATTCTGAAATATTATACTGAGTCAATCATAAATTTGGCAAAATTTATTGGTATTTGCTAAAATGTTTGGGATATCGAGGTGCAGTTTAACATACGCTCCCTTGTTCTTCTTGTGACAGAAAATGATTAAATTTGTAGGCAATCATATATCTCCGATGATGACAAATTACGAACCCGTACACTTCGATAGCAATTATCGATAAGAGTCTGAATTTTAGTTAAAGTTTGGAACGTTTGTCTTAGGCGAAGAAATATGAATATAACTGGATAAAATAGTATTTTTTCTGTATTCTAAGGCTTTTTAATCTCAAAGTTGTATTAGTAAGCGACGTTAATTCAATTTACTTCAAATAACTCCATAATGCTCTACAAACTTTGCTATTGCGGGGTGTGCGATAGACTTACCTTCACGTGGTGCACCCTGGGCAACGTATATTCATACGGGAAAAAGTCTATTAACTGACAGTTGACTTCTGACTTCAAACTACCATCACCCCATTGTATGTCATATTCGACTACTTCTACAGTACTCACCTCACCTTTTTTCTACCTTCGTCTTTGAGGTACTCTTCTGTCCCCCCCCCCTCTCGACTTTCTTTCCCATTTTGATGTTCCTTCAACTCTGTGAAACCTGAAGTCAACTAAAGTGCTAATGATAACCATCAAAACGCCTGCTATTTGATATAAATAAATAAATAACTTTGCTATTGCAGACTGAAAATAGCAGAAAACCTAAAAATCCAAAATGCCTATTTATTCATTTATATCAATTGACAGTTATCATTAGCCCTTTAGTCGACTTCAGGCTTCACCAGGGGGAAGGAATATCAAAGTGAAAAAAGTTGAGAGGGGGGGGGGGTAATAGAAGAGAGATTCAAAGATGTAAAAGAGATAGACACGAAGGTAGAATAGAGGTGAGGTGAGTACTGTGGAAGTAGCCGAATATGACATACAGCGAGGTGTTGGTAGTTTGAAGTCAGAAGTCAGGTGCCTGTTAATAGGCTTTTTGACATATGAGTATATGCACAGGGTGTACCACGTGGAGGTAAATCTATCGCTCACCCCAAATCCAAAATGTTCGTAGAATATCTAAATTAATACTGATACCTTTTCCGCGACTTTGTCGCTAATTAACATGAAAAGTTCTCAAATTATCTGCTCAATTTTTCAAAGTAATCAGTCTAAGATTTTTAGATAGCATTTTAATTTTTAACCTTTTTCTGCTTGATTTGATATTATATCCTGGGATACTATCNGTCGCTCAAAAAACACAAAATTTCATGCTAATTAGTTAATTACCCTCTCAAAGTAATAATTGCTTTCATCTCGGTCATTAATGATGACTATTAAATGGCAAAATCTTGTCTTCACCAAAACCTTTCCTATATTAATCTCTATATTTGCAAAGTGCACACTATTAGTTTGCCTTTCTTCTTAAGCTCTAAGTAAATGATTTTTAAACCCTAATGTGATGTACAAAGTGGCACAAACCCCAAATTTATGCGTTTGAAGTTAAATCCTTGTTTTCAATAAGATTTGAGTAGAAGTTCAAGTGAAAATCGGTGGGAGGTAGCCAATAAAACAAGCGGCAAATAATATGACAATCAATTATTAAATAGGCTTCTCTATTCAGAAAGGTGCTTTCACTTGTCAGTATCAACCAAATAAGTGTAAACCATCGAGGCTTAAAAGCATGTTTATATGAAAAAGGGCAAAAAAGTCATGAAAAGAAAGAATTTATGCTATGAATAAATTTAATCATACATTAACGTGTGTATTGATAAATATTTATTTATACCAAATCGCAGGCATCGTAATAGTTGTCATTAGCCCTTTAGTTGACTTCAGGGTTCCCAGAGGGGAAGGAACATCAAAGTGAAAAAAAGTCGAGATGGGGGGGGGATAGAAGAGTGTTTCAAAGATGTAAAAGAGACAGACACAAAGGTAGAAAAAAGGTGAGGAGAGTACTGTGGAAGTAGTCAAATATGACATACAGTGGGTGATGGTAGTTTGAAGTGAGAAGTCAACTGCCAGTTAATCGACTCTTTTGCCGTATGAGTAAACGTTGCCCAGGGTGTACCAAGTGGCGGTAAGTCTATTGCACACCCCGTATTGATCAATATAGAATAATACGAGTACAACCACAGTACTTTATAGTGAAAGAAGAGATAAAAACGAGTAATCGATAATGTGGATAATGTAAATAACAAGTCGTGGAATTAAAAAACGGATACACAATAAGAGCTAGACGACGTTATGCATAGACTTCAAATGTTGAGTGAGAGAGAGAAATGATCCTACCTCCCCTCTTCAGAGTTTTAATAAATGGATACCTGATGGCTGAATTGGAGGGATTTCGAATTGACTTTCCCACCTCTTGCAAGAATAATTGTCTGAAGATATATACATACGCATCACTCGAGCTATCGTGCTGTGTATGCCACATTTGTCCTCAACTTAGTATTTATTTGGCATTATTATTCACCACGAGTCATAAAGCATTGGCACTATGCTCCCACATTTGTAGCAGGGTGTGTCTGTAGTCAAATGTGTAGTTGTGCAATAGTTCGAGTCCTCTTTCCTCCATTCATAGGACAAATAGTTCTTTTAATGACTTTATTAAACGAAAATCACCATTTCAATCAGCCAATGCTATTGTTGCTCATCTGACGGGCACGTACATATGTGTATTTATTTAAAACTATCCTTTATTTAAGTTAAACCTCATTTAAGGTTAAGAGCATGCTAAATGCGTTATAAAGTAACTAACATCTTACACATGGTTTCCCTATTTCACGCTGTTCTCGAGAAATAAACAAACCTCCAAGCACGTGCGTGAAATGACAAACCAACTTGGATAATAATGGGAGACTATTTCTCTTTCTTTCTTTCATTTTCAAAAATCGTCGCAAATATCTGCGCTTGACACACTTTTGCTAAAATTAACGAGGTCAAAATTCGAATAGCAAAAGAAACTAATTTGTCTTGAATGCACTCTTTAGTTAGTAAATATTTATTTATCAAATGGCAGGCTTTATGATAGTTATCATTAGCCCTTTAGTTGACTTCAGGCTTCACTGAGAGAGAGGAACTTCAAAATGAAAAAAGTCGAGAGGGGGGGGTGAACAGAAGAGTGTTTTAAAGATGCAAAAGAGACAGACACAAAGGTAGATGAAAGGTGAGGTAAGTACTTTGAAAGTGGTCGAATGACTTACAGTGGGGTCATGATAGCTTGAACTCAGAAGTCAACTGCAGGTTTATAGACGTTTTAGCCGTATGAGTATGCGTTGCCTAGGCTGCACCACGTGGAGGTAAGTCTATCGCACACCCCAGTTAGTAAATATTGCACTCCTGGGGTTTCAAAGGACTCTAAAGCAACCACTCTTTGATCAAATCTCAATTTCACGATTTTAGTAGTAGTATACACCTATAGAGTTTAAATTAAATAAGGGAAATTGTAATACTTGTACAGACCCATATCACCATGTGCATACCTTTGTGCAAAACTTTGGTCTAGCTTAGTTCTAAACCAACTTTCAACATGCCTGAGAAAAGGCATAAGACCACAACAGCCTCACCCTGTCTCATTTCGTTTGCTCCTCAAAAATTGACGCTCCTCTTCCAGTAATTACGCCTCCTTCCAAGCTCCTTCCAGGAATCAGGAGGTCAGTGGGGGGGGGGGGGGGGGGGGGGGGGNGGGGGGGGAGTGGAGATATCTGCACGCGTGGACATTATTTTCTATTACGAAGTGTTACTTAACGCAAAACGCTGAACCATTTAGGGGTGAGCACGAGAAGAGAAACAACGTATTTATTAGGTTAAACCAGCAATCGTGAGAGGAGAAATTGCGCAAGAAAATAAACATGGAGTTGAGGTCACAAAGAAAATAAGATCTGGAGAAGTTCGCTCGAGACTTAACATCCCTCTCCCCTTTCTCTAGGTTTATCTATTTTGACGCTTTCGGGGAATTCAGTAGCAATTTTTTGGCACACTTGTCGTAGGTCTATCGTAGAAAAGTCTTCGACTAGATGATTTCCATTTAATTCTGCCAGTCAGTCATTCAAGTGGACTCATATGCACTTATTCTCCATTCGTGCTTTTAATAATGAGCACTTCACCCCATTAAGCCCAAATTGATTATTCTGACCATTTGTTACTCCATATCCGAATATTTAATCTCCGGTGGACTTTGACACTGACCCTACTGAATCGGCATTGTCAATCCATGTTCTCTCGGTGGCTTGCACTTGAGGTTGTCAAGTGGTATGTGCTTAGCTGCTTCATTTGGTAAAATTTATTTAATTGAAACTACTATCTCTACCTTAAAACATTTATTTATTTTATACCAAATGGCAGGCGTTTTGATGGTTATCATTAGCACTTTAGTTGACTTCGGGCTTCACAGAGAGGAAGGAACATCAAAGTGAGAAAAGTCGAGATGGGGGGGGGGGGAG